AACAGGTCTGTCATGCCAAGCAAGAAACACCTGCTAAGTGTTGCAGGACCCCTGAGTGAACATGAAGAGAAAATACTCTTGTGACCTACCCCTTGTCCCAATCCGAGCAAACTCCAAACTCGAAGGCCCAAGACCCAAAATCTGAACCCCAAACTCTGAAACCCCCCTTGCGAAGCTGGAGTCCGCACCACTGCCAATCTGCACCTAAGGCAACCAGAAGCCGGCGAGCATGCCTGCAAGAGACTGCCAGGGGCTGCAGGTTTCAGGGTTCCAGTGCGAGTGCGGGGGATCTTCGGGCTCCTAGCAGGGCCCATGATTCTTCAATGCCGCATACTCTTCAGAAAGAGGTTCCATGATTTAATAAACCCCTACTCTCTCTGCGAACCTCAACCCCACACTTCTCCCCGACAAAACAAAGTCGGACCCCTAAACTGCTGGACTTCCTGGACCCGGACCACCAACCCAAAACCCAAAATCAGCCCCCCAAACTCCCAGACTCCTGCCAGAATAGCACAAATCCCAACAACGCCCACAACCTTCCGGGCAACCAAAAGGCAACTTGAACACCCCTTAAAAGCCAACAAGAACACACCCCTAAACTCCCAACTCCAAGGCAAGAAACATGGTTAGGCCCCCCTGCCTCTGCCCGGAGCGGAGAGTCGACTCCCGGGGCTTCGCAAAGAGCGCAGACCTCTTAAGAACTTCACTGGCCTTAAGGGGGCTTCAAGGGCTTAATCAAGGGCTTCAGGGGCTTCAGGGGGCTTCAGGGGGCTTCAGGGGGCTTCAGGGGCTTCAGCCAGAGAGGTTCGGGCTTTGGGGTTGTTGACTCGTGTTCAGGCGCATTTTGGAACTTAACTCAAGGTCTCCACCCCCCCACCCTCCCCCCACCACCCACCCACCCCCCTGCAATGAAGACAAACACGAGCACCCAATGCGCCCACAGCCTCAAGTCACTCACAACGCCAAGCTTGGGCTTGTGGCGCAGGCGGCACAGCATGTTGGCCAAACGCCACAGAAACGTGAACAAAGCCATCAGACCGTCAAAGCTCGACTCCATTTGAGCATTGGGCCTGAGACCCTCGGTGAGGTTTGTGGAGGCGCTGGCCTCAGGTCACGTCAGTTCTTGAAAGTATAGTCCCTTTTTGGGGTCCCTGCTGCTACAAGGCCCTTCACATGTTGGATACCCGACAGGATCCTAGCTTTGAGAACTGGTCCTACGAGACTACATACAGGCATACGGATTTGCGGGTTGCATCCTAGAAGGTTCGTAAAGCTGTTGTTGACCCTGTGCCCTTCCCATGACATCGTATGCACCCGGGGCTGAATTCTCTTAAGGAGAAGAGGCGTCTGCTGACATCCGTCTCAGTCCGTCTCTGTTTCCACTTAGGGCTTCAGGTTGAGCAATTCGTGATGATGTCAAGCTTGCGCCAACTTTTGGCAACTCTAGTGTGTCCTCTTCTGCGGCTCTGCTCCAGACGCATGGGGTCAGTGATCTGCTGTTCACGGGCCTTTGGGATATTTCTGTGTGGGGAAAATTGCGGTACCCTGGGGCAGATGCATTGCTGAAAGCCGAAGCCACCACCTGTGCCTGGGCCAAGTCAGCGGATTCTTACTTGCACCTAGATTCAAGAACACACGCGAAAGTCTGGAACTGACCACAACTAGGTGCGCAAGTCACACAATCAAACAAGGGACGCATATCTGATCACATCATCTCAGCATCTTCGCGCTTTTGTCTAGAGAGCGAGAGGGAGAGGGGGAGCCAGCGGGGGTGGGAGGAGGGGCAAAACAGGACTGTACGTACTGTAGAGATCCATTCCCCAATTCCGGGATAGGGATTACGGTGGTTGCAAGGTTCAGGGGCCAGGATGGATCAATGTCGTCAAATGTCGTCAAGACCACAAGCGTGGAAAAACCTGGCTGGACCGCCACCATGCAAATTCATGATGATGGAGCGACACTGATTTTCATGGCAGGAGCCCCCCTTGTATGAGGGCCATAAGACTGACACTGACGACTATCCCATCGAATAAATACAGAATCTGAAAGCAAAGTGTCAAGTGAAAACTTTGACTGCAAATTGGACACGTGGGCAAGCAAGCTGTAGGCTGTCCCCTTTCATCTTCCAACACACAAACGTACAAACATGCAACGATGGGCGCACTGCGCAACTCAAGCAATGGCTTGTAGCGTCAACAGACACCTTTTGGGTGTCCTCATTCTTAGGGTCCCACTCAAACCATAAGGGGCGCCCAACGCAGCAAAGGGAAATCTTCGAGAACATGGAAGACGCAACAGTTCCGAACACGGAGCAGCCACATCTCGCACACTGCTGTAGAGGTTGAATGGAAGGATCGTACTCAACAAGCTGCTTCAACGGAGAAAGGAACGCTTCTGCGAGAGTCACTCTGGAAAATTCAACGCGGCACCTACGTACGGCAAAAGCCTCAGCAAGAGGCACAGTTTGGTCACTGCATGGCAGGATCATAAGACGACTCGATGAGCAGCACATCCTATTCTCGCAGAAGTTGGGGCCGACGTGTGAGATCAGTGGGGCAGGTGGCATTTCTGGCCCACTCGCTTACGTAAAGGTCACTGGGCATGGCAGGCCTGCAAAAATTCTCACAAGGACAACCCCCGCAGCACGAGTCCACAACCTCCATCAGTCAGGGATAACTGTCCTTTCGCATCGGGCCAGCAATGGACCCTCCGATTAGAGGTGTCAGAAGCTTCAGTTGTCATCACAGGGAGGTTGCAGAGCAGTGTCCCGATGCAAGAGCCAACAGGCCTGTTACGAGCGGGCACCACGCAAAAGCAAACGGCTTCGGGGTTCTCTACATCGGGCCAGGTTCCGACGGCTCGTTGAGCTTCCTTGGGCTCCTCAGGGCCCCTGCGCCCCGAACCCTGTGCTGGTTGAGGCAGGTTGAGCCATGTTGAAGCGCTTCACGTTACACTGCGCCCCGCACCTCCTGGCCGAGGACGAGGAGGACGAGAAAGAGAGCCCGTGCCTCCATCGCAGCAAAAGCTACGGGGTAGCTCTGACGGTCATCACACAGCGTTTGAATGCCAAGATGGAGTTCAAGGCGCGGCGCTTTTTGGAGCTGAGGGCTCTGTTAAACTTGCTGCAGTTCAGCATCCACAAGTTGCGGCGAAGCTAGCTGTCAAAAGGAACCGAGCAACACTTCGTGTTGCCTTTGGGACTGACGAGAATGATACGAAGAGTCTCTAGTTTGAGAGTTCCTTTTTAGGAAGCTCCCAAACATGACCCTACTTGTGAAGGAAAAACTGCACGATTGATGCCCCTCATCAAAAGCTGATACCTGCTAGGGCACAGACATTGTCATGGTAATTCATGGCACATCTGTCCATCAGTGCTCGACGGGCAACAAAAGCAAAGCTTCAACTGCCACAAAGAGCACGCGGTACATTGGAGCTGTTGGGAACTGGGGCTTCAATTCTGAATGATGACTAGGGACCATGATTCTTAACAACCCCTCAAAAAGGCATACCATAGCAACACAATCGTCAGATCACCGCCTTCGCCTCCGGAAGCGGCCTGACACTGGCTTGCAATGGAAGGCTGGCGGTGGCGCATCTGCTTCTCCAGCTTCTCCTCACCAAAACTTGAAGAAACACGTGACATCATCAGCAGATACCAGAGAAGCAGGAGAAAGAAGAGGAGTTGAAGGTGCTGCCGCCAGGAGCTACTATCGCTACTGGTGGCGTCTCTTCTGATGCTGATGCCCTGATCCTCACAAGGCCACCGTTACTGCCATATATCCTTATACCGACCCAATCTCCAAGTCGTGATCCCATTCCTTCTCCTGCTACGACGATTGGCTAAGCAACTTCTCAAACTTCTACTTCAAATAGTAGTACGGAAACAGTTGCTTTGCCCTACTCCTAAACTGGTCGTGACTACGTTGTACAGCTGCACGTCGCCGAAGCCCAGTTAGCAGCCTTCTTGAAGCACTGAACCCATTATCATTATAGTTATCAATATCATTGTCATTTTCATAATCATTATCTTCTATCTATCTATATATATATATATATATGTATATATCGCAATGTTATGGAGAGACACTGCGACCTCGCGCTCTGTCGACGTAAAGTCCAGGCTGTGGGTTTCGGGTTTGGGCTTCTTGCTTGCTTCCAGGCTTCAGAGAGACAGGGGGGGGGGTATGCCATGCTACAGCTCTTAGCTTAAAGTGCTGCAATTCGTGCCTTGAAGCCTTTGTAGAGTCTGGAGTTTGGGTCTTCAAGCGTCAGAGCGCTCAGGAAGAGCCTTCACGCCTGTGTTTTGCACAGCAACCACTCAGCTGCAAACACTGAATCGCTCCAGCTTTGTCATGAGCTGATTCTGGCGCTTCGCTGAAGACCTGCGCCACGAAGACTGGTGGCTAGTGCTACCAGGACAGCACAGGGCGGGGCCAAGAACCCACAGCCATCGCCTCGTCCGACATATGCAACAGATATCTCACAGCCAAAGCCCTCTCTCTAGCGTGAAGCTTACCCGAAGCAAAATTCGCAAACTGGAGCTCCAGCAACGCACAAACGGACCAGCTTCGAAGCTACCAGCATCCTTGTACCACTCTCATCCACTCTCGCAACTAAGGAAGTCGAGAATGACAGGCGGCCTTGCGACGCTGAGAACGAGCCTCGCTCAAAACTACCATCACATGCAACCACAAAGCAAGTGCTGAGAGGGTATACCACAATGATGCCGCAAGAGCTGACTAAACCCTAAACCCTAACTAGGTAGCGGAGCGCACAAGAGCTAGCGGGCGGCACAGGGGCGCAGATGCGGAGCTTTGAAACCGGGGCCAAAAAAGATGTCACATCTGACATTTGACAATAGTGATGCAACAGGTCTCAGGATGGTTCAGGCAAAGACGAAGCTGGAGATGCTGAAGTGTTGAAAGCACCGAAAACGAGCATCACACCCACGAGGACTGGCCTTTAGGTCCACAAGATCCCCTGACCCCACAACAAGATCGTCAAAGCAAACGACAAGCGAGCAAAACTCCATGATGCACTTCCGCATCGCCAAGAGGCTCCATATCCAGTCGCGTGGCAGGCCCTCGTAGTTTTAAGCAACCTGTTGCAGCGGTCTATTGTTTAGATTTTGCGGACTCGGCAAGCAGAGTACGACCGAGCAGCATGACCGACAGTAAAGCAGGAAGGATGCAACGTGTCCTTGGACACAACAAGCACTATGAATCTCGTTCCTCTCGCTGCCTCTTAGTGCTACAGTGCAATGCAACAGCTCCAAACCCTAAACTCCAACAAACACCCTGAACCCAAAAGCACAAGTGGGCCTTCCACAAACTCTTGAAGGTCGATAGTGCCACTGCCATCCTTACTGCGAGAGCTGCCACAGGCGTGGCTTAGGCTGAGGGTCTGGGACGTAAGCTTAAACCCCGCCATGGATGCCCTTCATTGCCCTTCCCTGGCTTGCCAAGCGTCTGGGTCAAGCAAGGTGAAAAGCCTTAGAATGGAGCTGTTCGATTGCACCACAAGTTGGATGGACTCATTAAGATCTCAACCAGGAAACCAACAAACTCGGCAAGACTAGAACGCAGTGCTCATCTCATTGCAGCTACAAGGCTTCCACACATTGTTCAAGTCCATGTCCAGAGCGCGGAAATACGCGGCAACCTGCACTGTGGATCGAGCAGCGATGACGATGCTTGCTCCTAGCTGCGCCCTGCCTGAGGATCGTTGATGTGTTGTTCGAAGGCTGTGGCAGTGAGTTCGCCCTTCTGCCCCTTGCAGCATGGATACGAGTGTGGCCACAACACAGTAAAGCATGGCGCCACAAGCTTCGATTGCAAACAACATGGAAAAAGTCTCTGACACTATGTTCCATCCACACGATATGTGGCTGCAAAGTTGAAATGTGACCACACACATGCTCAGGGCTGAATGTGCATTCCGCCTCGTCCATGAGATGGAACAGGTCGCAAACTTGGTCTGTGTACAGTTGCTTTGACCTTGATTCATACGCATGCGCCCGTCAAAAAGACTCTGCTTGCACACTTGTTTAAGGGCTGCGCACATTTCCCAAGCTATGAACATACGATCTACTCTTCGGTAAGAGCCCAGCTTAAGCTGCGTCTCGATGACCATCTCCTGCAATGCCACATCCAAACATGAAGCACGGCCCTGCCTGCAGAAGGAGCACCTGTTCTTGTGAAAGAATCAAGCAATTTTGCCTTTACAGTTCCACATGGGGGTTTACGACAATAGGGGTACCTGATTGGGGACCTGATTATAAGGGGATCCTACTATTTTGGGGTCCATATTAGGGGTCCCCTATTTTCGTAAACCCCCACATAATGATTGCGCATGATAGCTTGTATACACTTTCTACTTTATAGGAGGATTCGGAGTCACATAGCAACGGCACAGTCCTGATCCAAAGATGCGGATTCGATGGCATTTTGACAAAACACTCCAGTTACCTGGGGCGGGGCGCGCTAACTAACTTTGTTCGGGTGCCTAACAAACCAACTAACTAAGTAACTCGACATGCACTGAACAAAGCCCGCCAAGTTTGTTCCGGTGCCAACACTGCATCAATTGTTTCAAACCCGAAACAATTTAACATATTGGCAAGGAATCTACTGGGCCGACAAGGATGCAACATTGGGCACATCAAACTTGCGTCTTCGCGCAAAGAACTTCTTGACCAAGTCGCCACATTGAGCACAGCGAACTCCACCAGAGCAATGTACACTAGAAACCTTCAAGTTCAGAGACGGCAGATTATGCACAACAGATTATGCACAAGCGACCACAGCACGTCGAAGCTCCCAAGCTGTCAACTTGTCCAAAATTCATTCGTATTCCGTTCCCCTTACCTGTTTGGTTCAACACCAAACTTTGGGGGCCCCGCCATTTGCCAAACTTGTCTAATATTCCTTCTTGGGGCGGCCCTATGGAAGGATACATCCGAAGCAGAGAAGACACTTTCACAGTGAGAATGTGTCCATTTAAAAGGTACTACGGAGGAACTGTTTGCACGCAGGCAACCCAACTTGTGCGAGTAGCTGCCAGCCTGTGAAGGTTAAAAACATGCGTACGGGTAATGAGTCAGCGCGTGACTTATGGGCGGCCAATGAAAAGCGAGGTCTATGCACTGCTCAGCCAATGAAGTCTTCTACGGCCTGGTCGGATTCCCGATTTGACACTGCAGACAACAGCTCCAGTAAAACAGTCCGGGGTTGCTCGCAAAACATGACCAAACAGCTCAAGCTGTGCCCTGTGAATGTAGTGTGAATGCGGGCTGCGCTGCCAGCGATCGCACACCTGTGTTGGTGACGGTGGCCTGTCGCGTGTTTTTTTTTATGAGAACTTTGGTGTAGTAGGTGGCACTGGATTCCTGTGCAATCGGCTGTGGTGCGGACAGCCGCTTCCATGCCGTACTCAGGCATGGGCACAATCGCCGCATTGTAGATGCGGAGTTTCCAGCAAACAATGTTGAAGTGTGGACAAGGTACAAAGGTGCAGGGATGGAAAAAGGCATAATGCCATTGAGTTCAAACATGCTACTTGTAAGTTTCAAAATGTCGAAGATCATTGATGTGTGATGAAGAAACAGGGGCATACAGCCCAAAAAGAATGCATATGTAGGTATATCTATAGGAAAGAATTAAATGTTCGCTCATTTATCTATCCATCTAGCTATTGATTTCTGAGTCCTTATGTACTTTGTTTTTTGATCCATTCCTGTTCGGTATTTGCTCTTTTCTGTCTGCATCATCTGTTCAAGGGATGGAGTTGCAATAATCCTTAGAACTTATACCTATTCGCAGTCTATGATCCCCCTTGGGCGCCATGAGCGGGCTGGAAGGCTTTGATTTCAACGCAGCCCAACAATTGTCAGTGGTGCTGGTTCCTTTTCTCCCCACCTGCTGTGAGCTTTCACAGGCCACCACCCAAACCACTGCCTTTTTGGGTTTAGGGCTGTCGCCCAGAATTCCCACCATCCTGCATGCTTCAAACCTTCAATAGCAAGCAACAAAGGGGTCACGTAGGCCAGGTAGGCTGGGGGTAGGGGGGGGGGGTCATTTCCGGCTTAGGGTTTTGAAGGATCGCTTGTGGGCGGGAACTGCGTAGCACTTTTCGGGCTCTGATGGCACTGGGGTCCAAGGCCTGCGGAGTCAAAGGATTACTAAGACACAAACCCAAAAGAACGTTCTTGGACTACTTCCCTTGTATTAAGAGGGTGTCCTTGGGGTACTAAGGTAAGGAGATGTGACCCCGGCTACACTATACAGGGAGTAAAACAAGCAGATTTTCACACCCGTCTTATCTCCGAGTCACATCAACTCCTTGGTAACGAGGACAGAGTATTTAAACACGTCGTAGTATATTCTTGTCATTATTCCTCCCACCTTCGTGGGGTACTCATTTCGTGCCATATTGTGGCGCTACACTGTAGCGGGGTTCTCCGTAGCCACTGTATGAGTAAGAGAAAGATTGAACCTTTCCAACGTCCGTAGCCATCACGATAACAAACCACGAAGCATGTGAGATTGTCGTCCCTTTGCTCAATTGTACCAATCGTTGAGCTCTCCATGACTTCACAGGTAGCGACATTCGTTAAACGATTGTAATTTCTCCGACTTAGGCCGGGTCCTGCAACTTCGCAGCGTTGTCGTCTAGAACTTTGTTCAACAATAGTGGCTTCATGGATTTGGTAAGAGCGTCTGCAAAATGTAGATGTGTTGGAATCCATGATCATAGCGCGCCACGCGGCGTATAGGCGACTGACGTCAACTCTTCATCTTCTGTCCATAGCGCCTGCCTTACAGCGATAAGCTCTATGGCTAGTCTTTTGTCTCGACCTGCTTCGGCACGGGGCTCAAGAGATGATCTGCCAGCGAACGTGGTCTTCGGGCGGCAAGCGCGCTTGCCACACTCGACAGCTCGCAGCAAATCCTTGCGACCAAGCGCCGAGCTCAAGTACCGCGCAACATGCCCTACGAAGTCTGCCTCAACACGAATAAGAATTGCAGCAAAGCAAAGGCTCTTGTTGGATCGGTTCACACCACAAGCTCCAAGTTTCAATGTCACAAAGGCCGACGACCCTGCAACAGTTACTCGGATTGTTCGGCCGTCAAGCCAACGTAGAAGATCGCGCGGTTAAAAGTTGGCAGGGGCGGCATCGTTCACGTCACGGATTAGGGCAGCTGTTAGACGGACGAAGCTAGCAGCACAATCTTGAAACGGCCAAAGAAGCAACCACGGCTCAGCAACGTTTTTGCGTTTCGACAACGCCGAAACACGCAGAGGCTTGTCGTTCGTGCGATCACGACACGCCGCACACAGGCAGAGGGTCATCTTTTTTGCGTTCCGACAACGCCAAAACACGCAGAGGGTTGTTCTTCGCGCGATCACGACACGCCGCACACACGCAGAGGGTCATCGTTCTTGCGTTTCGACAACGCCGAAACACGCAGAGGGTTGTCGTTCGTGCGATCACGACACGCCGGGACCACGCAGAGGGTCGTCTTTCTTGCGTTTCGACAACGCCGAAACACGCAGAGGCTTGTCGTTCGTGCGATCACGACACGCCAAGAACACGCAGAGGGTCATCTTTCTTGCGTTTCGACGACGCCAAAACACGCAGAGGCTTGTCGTTCGTGTGATCACGACACGCCGGGACCACGCAGAGGGTCATCGTCTTTGCGTGTCCCGAAACACGCAGAGGCTTGTCGTTCGTGCGATCACGACATGCCAAGAACACGCAGAGGGGCATCTTTTTTGCGTTTCGACAATGCCGAAACACGCAGAGGGTTGTCGTTCGCGCGATCACGACACCCCACGCACACGCAGAGGGTCCTCGTTTTTGGTTTCGACAACGCCAAAACACGCAGAGGGTTCGCCTTTTTGCACTTTATATAACGAAGTGCGGCGGCTCCCGCCAACCCTACCTCGTGGGAAAACCCACCAAATCCATCAAAATCCATCACGCCACGAACTCCATCAATCCATCACGCCACGCAATCTATCAAAGCCATCACACCATCACGTCATCCATATAACGACACTTTTTAACGACGACCACCTCCGCTGAAAAACCCTCCATGCTTTCGGGACAAAACGATAATTCCATGCGCAGGACCTCCCACGCGAAACGCACGCTTTTTTCCGAAAGAGAGACAATATCTAACCCCCTCACCCCCGAAAAACATGCAGCAGAAAATTCGAAATCTATGCAACCGTTCAATTGGCGTTTGTACCACGCAGGCCACGCGAAACGCATTCCCCAAAAAAGAAAAAACAACTATATTTAATTTGCGTGTGTTCCCATCGCGCGCGCGTATACGGCACGTCCGAACGTTGTTGTTGTTGTTGTTGTTGTTGTTGTTGTTGTTGTTGTTGTTGTTGTTGTTGTTGTTGTTGTTGTTGTTGTTGTTGTTGTTGTTGTTGTTGCTGTTGTTGTTGTTGCTGCTGCTGTTGCTGCTGCTGTTGTTGTTGTTGTCGTCGTTGTTGTCGCCGTTGTTGTCGTTGTTGCTGTTCGAAGCAAAAAACAGCACGTTCACAGTGAGAACGTGTCCATGTAACAGGTACAACGGAGGAGTTTTTTGCACGTAGGCAACCTTTTTTAATCTGCGTGATTAGCTCGGCCTGTGAAGCTACAAACATGCGCACGGGTACTGAGGGGGAGGAGTCAGCGCGTGTGAAACTTACAAGTAGCATGTTTGAACACAATTGCCTTTACGTTTCTGCATCCCTGCACCTTCGTGCCTTTGTCCACAGTGCAACTATTGAGCCTTCGAGAACAGTCTTTTAGCACAGTGTTGCAACGCAGCGGAGTGTTTGCTGGAAACTCCGCATCTACAATGCGGCGATTGTGCCCATGCTTGAGTACGGCATGGAAGCGCCTGTCCTCACCGCAGCCGATTTGCACGGGCCCTGCGGAAATCCAGCGCATCCCCAGCACCTACTACACCAAAGTTCTCATAGACAACCCGCGATAGGCCACCGTCACCAACACAGGTGCGCGATCGCTGGCCGCGCAGCCCGCGTTCACACAACATTCACAGGGCAGAACTTAAGTGGCTTGGTCATGTTTTGCGAGCAACCCCGAACGACCTGGAGAGGGACTGTTTTACTGGAGCTGTTGTCTACAGGGAGGGAATGTCAAATCGGGAATCCGACCAGACCGTAGAAGACTTCATTGGCTGAGCAGCGCACAGACCTCGCTTTTCATTGGCACGTCCATATGTCGAAGATCAGTGATGAGTGAGGAAGACACAAGTGATACAGTCCTAAGAGAATACATAAACATGTACAGAATAAATGTTCGGTCATCTATCTATCCATCTAGCTATTTATTTCTGAGTCCTTCTGTACTTTTATGTTTGATTCCGTGCCTGTTCGGGATTTATTGTGCTTCGACCCCTTGGCAATGAATGTGTTCTTGCTCTGTTCTGTCTGCATCATCTTTTCGAGGGATGGGGAGTTGCAATAATCTTATTCGACTTGCGCAAAAGTACAACCTGAGACAGGCAGCAGCAAGAGCCACACACCAGAGCCCCCACTGGCTTCCCACAAGGGGTTGATCAGAGCGATCCAGCTGATGCCATCACTGATGGCCGCAAACAAAATCAAGATGGACCTCGCCCAAATCTCAGCAGACTGGCACTCACGATTCTTGTGCTCATCTGTGGACTAAGAGTATGCAGCCCAGCCGCACGAGCACTGATCCGAAGTAGGTTTTCATGTCGCAAAGGGTAGATGGTTCCGCGCAAGTCATCGATCCGTGCAGGCCCCCATGAGTTGAAGCGTATTCGGTGTAGGCATGTGTGAACAGGATGCCGAATGTATACCTGAGAGATCGAGCCGGAGAACAGATCGAAGGTGGCTGGATCTACCAGATACCAGCTCTTGTTGGGACTGATGCACGACACTGGGGCCGCCACATGATGAGGAACAGCAGAATCAATGCCCACATCACAGACCTGCCACCACGGCGGAACTGCAACGACATGGGCGTGTGTCTAACGGCCATGAATGAACCTCATGCTGACACTAACACTGCCAACCAGGAAGAGGCAGCTCAGAAAGGCTATTCAATCAGGAGGTCCTGCAAAGAGCTATTCACCTACTGCCAGCTCGACAACACTCGAAGATGCCTCAAGGTGTGGAGAATCGACGCAATGAGAACTCGGAGTGCCCGGAAGAAGCGCACAACCTAAGTTGTCGGGAGCTGCCCCGTGTGGCTGGTGGCGGCTTGCGATGGCTCCTGCTAGTACGTTAGAAGCTGCACCCACACCTCAGAGACATAGGGAAGCACTAGGGTCCTTGATATTGGTGAACCTTGACGCGACGAACAGCTTCCCCGATTGCAGATCAAACATGGTAATGTCCAGCGTTGCTGCAGCTCCATATATGTCTATACAGTGAATGCATGCATCTTCAACCAAAGGACAATGAAAAATATAAGATACAGACAGAAAGAGCGAAAGAGCGAGAGAGAGAGAGAGAGAGAAAGAAAGAAAGAAAAGAGAGAGAGAGAGAGAAGCGAGACAGGAGAGATATTAGACGGGAACACAGACAGAGAGAGAGAGAGACACGGAGAGAGGGAGAGAGAGACGAGAGAGAGAAGAGAGAGAGAGAGAGGAGAGAGAGAAAAGAGAGGGGGAGAGAGAAGAGAGGGGATCTTCAGTGCAGGCAGAGTCACCCGGACCACACGAACCAGCCGCAAGATCCGCACGACCCGCATGGCTTTCATGATGGAGAGATCGGTGCTGGATTCACTTCCTTGGGCCATGAGAAGCTGCTGAGGAAGCCATGTTTGGGTGAGGGAATGGCCAGGGGCCAGGGTGAGAATCAACAGCTTTGAAACCGTACGATCCTCAGCATACTTTCATGTCTCTGGCCCAAAAAGAACTCAAACGAAGAAACAGACTGGCGTCGCAGGTTGGTGGTGAAGGCGTCCACGACGTCCAAGACGAACTCGATCAAAGCGCAAGCGACCTTGGATGCTCATAGCGCTCACAGTGGTAGGGTTTCTGGGTCTCAACATAGCGGTTCAAGGCACGCATGAGTCTCGACGATTCCTCGCACCACATCCCTCATACTCCCCTGGCGCCGAGGCATCTAATTACGATTGAAGGAATGCCACCTGAATGGGGCCCTTTCCCAAGAATGATCACACCGCACTCGGCGTTCTCGACCCCCCCTTCCACCGCTCCCATGATATCACGCACCCCGCCCCAACCCGTTCACCCCAAAACCACCTCGAGGGGGGAGAGGGAAACCACAACCCTAAACCCTCAACCCTGAACACGAAGCCCTAAACCCTAGACCCTAAGCCCCGCCATGAACCGCCTTAAGCTGACCCCAAAACCCTGAACAGAAAACCCACCAACGAACCGTTGAAAAAAGAGGAGAAACCTTGAATCTACACCTCAACCGTAAACCCTGAACCCTCAATTCATCCTAAACTCTAAACCCTCCTTGAACCACAGAGAGCAGAGTGAAAACCCAAAACCCTGCAGCCTAACCCTAAACCCCAATCCCACCATGAACCACAGACCATGAACCGCAGGGTGGAAACCCCCAAAGCCCACCATGAAGCACAGCGGAAGGGTGGGGTTATCTTGTGGGAGGGAGGGGGGGGGGCCTGCAGTCCATTAACATTAACGCGGCAGGTGTATCTCAGGGCGCGGCAATCACGCAATCAAGAAGATTCCAACCACGATCTTCGGACAAGACGAATTCTCTCCCATATGCAAATATCCGCGCAAGAAGCCTGGTCGAAGATCAAGGCACCAACAATTCAGAGAGTTTGCCACGTGTTTACTTCTACACCGCACTTTCCAGCAGGCAGGACTCACCAAGAGCACAACAGCCCGTGTAGCACACACTTTGCTGCGAGCTGCTCCACGAGAAAGCACAAAGTCAGCGCCTGAATGGGCGATTATCACGATGCCCTGGAGGGTTGGATCCTCTTCTGACTTTTGGTGTATCCGTAAACGGGGACCGATCGGGGACCGATGAGGTTCGTCAGACGGTTCGGGGACTGCTTGGTGTTGTCTGGGCTAGGATCTCCCGCTTGTTTAAAAAGGACAAGGCACGTGGTTCACAATGTTGAAGTACGCGGGCGATTCGTGCTCCGGAATGTGCGCATGTGCAGCAGCTTCGTTGACCTGATGGCACGAAGCCAAGCTGTCCACATGGCAAGCTCCCTTCATCCTAAAACCCTACGGCCCTTTACGCCAATGACCCATACTTTCTTTTGCTTCTCTTTCTACGCAAAAAATATGGCCATGCATCGAAGCCCATGACCATCTTCCCACGTCCCATCCGACAAACCAAGCCACCTAAAACCCTGTGGGATCAACTCCAAGCTGCTTGCACGCCCACCATAACAGCGCTGAGGCAGGTGATGGCGGCCACAAAGATTTCGGTCGCCGGATGGTCTTGGCAGAATGGGGCATGGCATTTACAAGGTGTTTCTGAAACATGGCCGGTCGAGGAAGATTTCCATAGGCATCAACCTACCTCATTGACAGTTCTGTGCTCGTCGAGGCACTCAACAAAATTCGGGCTTGAAGTTGAAGAGAATGCTTCGGCAAATCCTGGGATGGCACCAGGTCAATGCATGGCAGCTGTTCGGCTTGCATGGAACACTCAACATGGCTGTCATGCCTTCTCCTTTGCAGCCCCTTTGTTCCTGCATGCTGCCCGGATGCTATGGTTCGCACCGTGCTGCGTGTCATACTCTGACCAGTCCTGCATGCTGGGACAAGAGTTCAGAGAAGAGAGTTCCTCGGGCCTGGCTGCACCGCGCCTTGACTTCGCCAGCTGGAAATCGCCACGACCTTCACCTGCTCTCCATCCGATGTGCACAGCTTCCTGAACCTCCAATGCCCGACGGGGGCCAAGCTAACCCCGGACAAACCTGGCCCCTGTGCACCCTGGCCTAGGGAACCCTCGGACACGGCGTTGCTCACAGGGGGATCACACAGCTCCTGGGCTTGAAGGTGGAGAGGCAGCAGGATATATTTGGGAGACACTTCATGACACTTCAAATCGGGAACAGGTTCAGGAAGACATCTACCTTGCGCAGCTAGGGACGAACAGCGAGAAATTATCTGCGGTTGTGAGGGATCTTTTGGACTTGTGGCTACGAGCAAGAGAACTCGGCAGGCGTTCAGTGCAGCCGACTCGCGGGATGAACAAGCAATTCTTGCGTCGCGCGGGGCGTAGCAGGAGGAGTAGCCTTCTCTGAAGGCACCTGCAATGTCACGGGCCTCCGGTCTCCCCCCACACGCGCCCAGATTCGTGCCAGACACGACGGGAAACACGCCAGCCACACCGCTTCGTCCGTAAACTGGAGTGATGCCAATGGCATGGTATCAACCTCAGCGTTTCTGCCCAGTGGACATGGAGGTATTTGGTTGTGGCTGAGCCCAAGGCCGGCAAGCTCCAACTCCCCTCCTCGGCCAGGTTCGCGCCCATCAAGCTCGCAGACAAACCTCAGCATCAGGCAAGGCAAGATCTCGGAGTACCAACCCAGACTAGAGTCAGTCGCACAAGAGGCACTGGCTTCCCACGTCACAGGCAGCTGAAGACTTAAAGTCGAACACTGAACGCAAAACTGCGGCTTGGTTCCTACAAAGGCGCAATCATGCAGGAACGATTGCCGGGTTGAGGTATCGTCATGCGGCTGTGGAATGTCAGTGCATGGTGCCTAAGACATGGAACTGGTGAGGCCTCACACCCTCAGAATCAAAACACACAATGACACTCGTTGCTATTTACCTCCGATGGAACACCGGCCAGGCTCCCGGGCTGGTCACTGACCCAAGCAGCTGCTGCATCTGGAACTCTTGGCGTTCCAGAACTGTCCTGGCTGAACCAGGCTCGGTCACAAGCAAAGCGTCCTAACAGGAGCTTTCAAAACTTCATGGGGCATGAAGAAATGCAAGCCCTTGACACAGCCGCAGCTACAGGTTTGCAAGAAACAATAGTCGAACCTCTGTCTCAACATGCATATCTCTGGAATCACTCTCACTCTGGCACTGCGCATCCGGGAGCCTGAGGTTCGCTTCCAGTTTTTCATGCCTGTGACCTCATTCCCAGTTCGTGGCGACATAAGCAGTACTGCTGAACGCCTGCTCAGACCGCTTATTCGCAATCTGAATTGACATGGAAGTCCACCGTGTGCTAGGTCCAGGACGCAGAATGTCCTCCAGGCTGATCAGTAGAGCCTGCACCGGCATGTCAGCATGTCGACTGCTTGGATACATGAGGCTCCGTGACAACAGCAACCCTGCGACATTTCAGCCTCACTCGCAGGCGCTGAAGGGTTCATGAAGGCTGGAATCCCATGCATCAGAACATGGGATACGCAACCTAGCACTGTCCACCCTAGCCACTACAGGATGACCTGTTCTGGTGTCGACTTCATGACATTCGCCCATCTTTTTTACAACATGGGCATGGAATTTCAACTGCGGGTGCAAGCTGCTTTCGAGTTGCTGAGAGCCAAGTTCACCCCACAACGTCAGACAGCTGCAGGACACACACATGGGCATCGGATCCACTGTTCCACAGTTGCAGCGGTGGTGCACATATGCAGACATGCCTGACATGACAAACGCTGCATCTCAGTACTGAACTATGTTCCCTCTGCATTCTTCAAAGCTCGACTTGGGGACACGGCCTGTCTTCGGAACCGGGATGTTCCATGGGCAACCATTGCCGTGAACTCTGTGAGATAGAACCCCTCTTGGCTTGGCTTGTGTTGGCTGCGCGGTCGTGAACAAGCTTATGACGTTGGGTCAAGGCTGGGGAAAACACAAACCTTACATGGTGTCAGCTCCATACAATGCGGCTTATCGGGTAGCCCTCCGGGCTTGAGCTGTGTCACAAAGCGAAGCACCATGCAAGCAAACATAGCACTCCTATGCATGCACCAAACTTGTTGTTCCAAAACACCACCCGCAAAAAGGTAAGCTTTCAAGATCAAACTTTGCTGGAGGGGCATGGATCAAACGGCCACGTATTGAAGAATGAGTCATCTGCACACGTTTGCCGCTGTGCCACTGCACCTAAAAATCCTGTAAGACATCCACTTGCACACATTATCGAAAACCCTCAACCCTCAACCCTAGAGGCGCGTAGGATGCAAGATGCATTAGAATGAACGTGGAAGGCTCAACTACATACAAGGCAAGTGTTGGTCTTCAGAAAATGTTGGTGAGAAGCCGCTTTGCAAACACAGTGGCTTTTTCATGCAAACCCTCTTCATGGGCTGATGCTCTATAATCCGAGCTCCTGCTTCATTTAACCCCCCATATTTAAAGAAATTTTTTTTGCCCGGATTCCCGCCGGAAGACTACTTTCCATTAGGATGGATTTCGTATGGGCCAAACCCTCCACATTTAAAGAAATTTTTGGGGGGGTTGTCAAATTTTGAAACTCTGCCTTTCGGAAAGCTTTTTTTCTTCTGCTAAGGCTTGTTTTCAATACGTTCTTATTGTTTTTTAATAGAGAAACCATACGGGGCCATGGTCCAACTATTGCGGAACCCTGCTTTCCTTATTGTGGGGGGGGGGGGCCCCCACCAATTAAACAGGAGCTCGGATTACAAAGCAAGCCAGCACGAAATAAAAATGAATACAACAATGTCGTACAGCATAGGTAAGGTCTTCAGCCGGTTCGGACCGCACGGCCACAGCGCTACTCAATCCAGCCAAGGCATCAAACTCTGGGACCTGGACCCGACGAACCCAAAAGGGCAAACACTCGACATCTTTTCAAGCGAAGGCCCTCTGCACAGTGCTGAGGCGCAAGGCTCCCGCGGCCTGTCTTCACAGGCCTTGCCAGTGCTGTGAGATCTTTGAGCGGTTTAGACTGGGGATTTGGTGACTCTCACACTCGCACGCGGCAAGTAAGCAGTTTTAAGCAGCTGCGCTTGTGCGCTTGGGCCAAGCACAGTTCTTGAGCAATAACGTTTGGCCAGAAGTAAGGGGCCTTCAAAGGCCCAGGACCAACTCCCCAAGCTCAAGCACTTCCAACAGCCGACCATGTTCAAAGAGGGCCGGAAGCCCCGGGGCTGACAGGCCTGGCTCATGCTGATACATCCACTTTCTCACCTTCGCGGCAAAAGAACTTCATGCTGGGATTGTTCTGGGGACTTCCGGAGAAGGTTTTGCGGTTCTACTACAGAGTGATGTAAAGGGAACTTGCATTGCAGGGGGATGTAGTAAGGCACCTGGTTGCCAGAGAGCCCAAAACCCGCTATCGAACATGTACCCTTATGAGGAGGCTTTTCCCTACAGGGCCGCGCTCGGCGCTTTCTTTCCCCTTTGCGCCTTTGGTTTCCTGAAACTCAATGAAGCCAATGATCCCACCTGAATCGCCACTACAATGTGAAGAACAATCAAGGCTTGTGAAAAAGTTTGGGCACTTGACCCGTCCAAAAGGACTCTGCTGGGCTCCTATGTGCCAAAACCAATAAACTCGATTCATAGATTATAATGTTGTCATCAGTGTACAAGTCTTGTGGCATGGCGCACTTGCAAGCCCTCCATGGCGCGTGCGACAACGTCAGCGAGCCTGCCATTTGCGACTCCAAATGTGCAGCGGCGACAACCTTGCAACGAAGGGTTCATCTAGCCAGGCTTCATGTCTGACGCCGGGCGGCTACTGTTGCCTCAGATGCAGCGAAACCCGTCACTCAGCGTCGGACAATACCAGTTTCAAAGGTTGTCTGCAACTCGAAACAAAACCGGAAGCACAGAATCGTCAGGATATGCATTGATGCACCCAAAGGCCCTCATACACGACAGTCTGTGCCGCTAATCACACATAGGCTGTTTGTTTAGGGTAACAAGAGTCCACCTAAACAGCATCCTGAACCTCAACCGTATGAGTCGGAAGTCTGTCAGCTGGGGCTAGAGCGAAACCCAAGATCTCCTCACCTGCAATCCACATACAGCTATTATCCTTGCTGCTGGCTTGGGGTTTAAGAGTCAAGATTGGAAAGCCCACTTCCGATGAAGCAGGGCTGCAGCCTTCATAGGGTTCAGGGTTCGCGGGGTGAGTGTTCACAAAGCTTTGTCCCAAGACAGCACCAAATGGCCCCAGGCCACCTGGAAACCCAGAAGTAGCCATGTAGCATCTTGGGCTTAGGCAAACCTGGAACCCACCTCAACCTGTAAGTGAAAATGCAAAAACCTCCAAAAAAGGACGGGTGGGGGGCAGGGGAAGCTCGGCCTTTTGGGCGGGCTTAGGACTTCTCAGTGCTTAGGGCTTAGGGCTTTGGGCTTCGAGTTTAGGGTTCTGGGTGCATTGCATCATCAAGGCTTCAGGTTTGTAATTGCAGCGCTGCACCTCAAAGAGTTGAGCACGGGCGC